ATCCGATGTCTAGTTTGCATGCCCTCTACCATTTAGTCGTTCTTTGTCCAATAGCTCTCAGGGTTGTGCCGTAGGTTTGTAACATTATAGCAGCTTCTTCTGAAAAGATATATATGTATGATATAATATAATCAGATAAACCGGTCAGCAAGTCTGAATACACAGCTGAGATTATTATTATTATTATTATTCTTCCGTTATACTTGTATGCAAGCAGTGTTTATGATGAGTCCTTGTGTAATGTTAAATACAGGCGAGAGTTAGTTATACAGAAGGAATGCTTAGTGTTGAATGATGTCAACAATATAACAAAAATATAAAAAAATTAATGAAAGACAGAATTTGATATTTATGATGCAGATTTTCAACTCAGAAACAATAAATTAAATTAGATAATAAATCTGTCTGAAGATATTTATTTGACAAATTCACATTTCTTTATTTTAAAAGTTGAAAAGTTGATTTCAGATATAATGTTGTTTTTTTGTGAGTTTCAAACTCATAAATCTTGAATCCCCACATCAAGGTGCTATCTGATGACTGCATTACTCATTCAGCCACCGGGGCTACACAGCTGAAAATATACATGAAATATATTTTGAATCTTTTAAATATTTTGTAGATAATACTATAAACATTTCTACTTTAACTTTTGTAAAAATTTCAATTAAAACATTTTATTTAAAAATAATTTGAAACTGTTATTCTATGATGGGTTAACACTCATTAGTAGTTAATTTATGCAATCAACTCACACTCTGCACTTATGTAGTTCTAACGATTCTTTTGTGCATTTGTGTAGTTCCTCATATTTCACATTTATATAGTTCTAACAATTCTTCTACATAACTTTCAATGTTCTTCCACTCTGTGCTTCACTGTGAAGTGGCTTCTGATATTCTTCTATTCTGATCTCCTCTCTATAAAAACCATCTTTATACAACCTTTTCTTCTGATCTCTTTTCTCTTTCTTCTCTTAATCAATTCATAATCTGTATTTAAAATAGTGTTAGATTGTTAATTGATGTATATTTGTTACATTACAAATTGATTCATCTGTGTCGGTGTTTACAATTGCACCCAGGTGCTCAAGTTAAGAATAAGTTATCAAATCTCTATAAAGCTATATTGTTGTGATAACATCTGCAAATTCTAAAGTTTTATAAAGCTGCATCATTGTGATAGTGCTGTGAAAAAGTCTGAGTGCTTAAGAACTTCACAATCACATATCTGTGAAGAGGTCAGAATGTCTATAAAATATTTTCTTCAAAGAGTAAGAACTGAACCTTCTGATCTTCAAGTTATCAGAATCAAGAATCATAGCTTTGTATGAAAATAGGATGAATTATAAACATCTTTTTATGAGGGAGAACTGAAGTCTCTGTGAAGGGTGATGGCAGTGTGAAAAGTGAATAGTAGAAGATAGTATATAGTGTAGTAGAAGATAATAATAATAATAATTATAGTAGTAGTATAGTTGAAGTTGTAGTTGTAGCTAATCGCTGAAGAGGAAAAGAAAAAGAAAGAAGATGTGCGAAATATATACATCCATATATATATACATATAGAAATAGTGGTAGCGAGAGTATAATGGAAAGAGGTAAGAATAGACGAAGATATAAACAAAGATAATAATAAGGAAATAATAAACGAGTGCATTACACTTAGAGATGCCCTCAAATCCAGTCAATCAACTCAGAGAAATAATAGCATTAAGAATGCTATTTTTATAAAAATTTAATGTAATTGTTATGAATGAGAAAAGAGCTATACTGATCTTGTCAATGAATTTAGTAATAAAGAAATTGAGATATCTTTTATGATTATATAAAGGATTCTTCATATAGTAGATCTTTAAAAAACAAAGTTTATATAGAAATTAAAACTTATTAAAAAGATATAATTAAATCAATTTCAATTTTATCTGAAATATAAAAATTAAATTTTGAAGAATTGAAAGAATGTTATATAATCAAATGAAATCTCTGTTATTTTTCTTCCTCAATAAAATGGATATAAAATATAATGTGTATTTTATAAAATATATTTTTGAAATTATATATATGAATGATGAAAGAGATTCTCTGAATTCATATTCTGAGTTTGTTTTTATAATAAGAAAGATTCATTACATTGTTGAAGCAAGAAAACCTTGCAGAAGTATGCTCAATTCTTTAAATATATTGAAATTTTAAATACAGAAATAAAATCTATAAAAAAGTAAGAAGAAAAACTTTCAAATGATATATAAAGATTATGAATTGATTGTCAGCAATCAGATCAAAAATCAATATAAAAATTTAAAAAAATCACAAATAAATTATTTCATAAAAAAAATAGTGAAATTGATTGATATCACTATCAAATTCAAATCCTCTTATCAAAGCTTTTTCTCTCTTTGCAAAAAAGCGTTAAATTGATTGTTTGAATATCATGTGCAGAAAGAATAAAGCTCATTTCATGATCATATATCAATATTATATATACAACATTCATAGCATTTAACAGTTGCTTTGATGTGGTAATTCACTGAATCTTAATGCAATTGAAGGAGTTTGATCTTGAATGAAGTGCAGAATGATGAAAAAAAGAGCTTTTAAGAATTGTACAGAAGCAATTAAAATATGAAAATAAATATAAAAAAATTTACTATAGAAAAAGATACAGATATGAATTAAGCAGATTTTTATACATATTCAAAAGATTATAGAGTTAGAAAATGGCAATGAGTGTAAAGAAGAAAAGCAATATGAGCAGATGAAGAAATAAAATACTCAACTAATTATACAGAATGACAAATTGACAGACAGATTTCACATTAAATGACAGACAGATTTCATATTAAAAAGGGTGGTATATTGACAGACAGATTACACATTAAAAAAAGTGGCATATTGGCAGGCAGATTACACATTAAAAAGAGGGGCAGATTCTGTGTTGAGTGGCAGTGGAGACAATGGAAAAATCAAGAGCTGAATATTCAATATGAAATACAGTGGGAATTTCTGCCAAGATTTGTGGCACTGTCTAGCTGTCTTTTTGCCGGCGCAATTCATTTGATAGCGCCCTCCGTAGTTCGGTTCGTCGTTTGTGACCACAGGCATGGAAACATCGCCACCGTCCTCGTCGTTCGATCAAGGAAAGCCAGCCACAGGGCGAAAAGGAAAGAATAGCTCTATTGATTGGATTTGATAGACAACATCGGGAATCAATCAATCTCGGATTCGGAATGACGACCCCGGGTGAGCCAACGTGGCACCGTAGTGCATGTGTGGTTTTTCTGACGATTGTCTCTCTTCCTCACCAAAGACTCGAGGGGACGTTTTGTTGACTAGGGATCTCGGTTTGCGCCAAAAAATATAGTTTTCTTGTTTCTTTTTTCTTTTCTTTTCTTTTCTTTTCTTTTCTTTTTTTCTCGATGATGGGGTTGTTTGATATTTTCTCTGGCAGCAACCTTTTCCCCCTTTCCACATCCCTGTTGGAAAGGATCGTAAAACAGCCGATCACGAACGAGTTCCCCTGCAACACCATGTCAAATAATGGAGCTCACAGCCTCTGGGATTTCCAAAGAACCAAAAGCAGCCGCTTGATTGGATTTTCAGCACTCAGGCTTGAAGGGGCTAAGAGCCTCAAGTGAAGGGCACTGGGCTGGACAGTGGTTGATGGGTTCTGATGTGTGCGGACATTCACGATGGAGAATAGGAATGGAGAATAGAGTCATGTCATAGTCCATCCATAGTACTTGTAGTAGTATTCCAGGAGGAACTCATGCCATGGAATAAAAACTTTGCCGATGTTCCCGAAACGGAAATCGGGATAGATTCTTGGTGACAGGCAAGTCACTCGTCGCGATCTCCGGACTGGCTTCAGGCTGGCTTCAGGCTGCCCGTCGCTCTGATGGTCTGGAATGATTGGCGGTGCTGCTGCTAGACAACTGCTAGCCCAGAGGCTCGTTCGTATCCAACGTATTATTCAGCGTGGTTAGTTAAATAGTTTATCAACCTCGCCGATGCCGAACATTTCAGATTTTCCTCCCCTCTTCTTTCCCATCCACCTCCAATCCACCGGGTACTCGCAGCCGGGGTGTCCAGATATCCAGTTTGTCTCGCTAATTTTGTTGGTATACCGTACGTGTCTTGGATAGGAGAAGCCGAATAGCCCTGGCAGAAGAACAGCCAGGGAAGAAGCACCCGCCTCTCCAGTCTGCCCCTCCTTCGCTTCAGTGACATCCTCTGCGCTCTGTGGGATTGGCTGTGGGCCGTCGTTAGAAACCCGGACCTAGAAGAAGATCCCTTTCCGCTGATTCTGTCTGTCCAAGCGCTCCGCCACTCGTGAGCATCAGCCGCCGCTGAGCCTCCGCCGTCTGATTCCAGATTTCTATCCATCAGTTGATCTTTCGCGCCCCTTTGGCGCCTTATCTATCTCTCATTTGGGTTTGATCTGGTGTTAGCCTCGATCGCATCTCTCATTTCTCACTTGCTTGTCACATATCGCTCTTTCTATCCTGCTGTGTTGTTGCGTTTGTCTCTGATCGTGAGCCATGTCGTACTATCCTCCTTCACAGGGCTATTCGAGTGGTCATGGTGGTTACCCTCCACCTCAACAGCAATACCCCCCTCCGTCATATGGAGCGCCGCCGCCCCAACAATACCCGTAGGTAGTCTTCTGCGCATTCCACTATCCCAAGGAGGGGTTTCTCTCTCTTTTCTTTTTGTTTTTTCTTTTTCTTTTTTGCTAACCATCCCCAAGCCCGCAGGGTTACGGAGGATATCCACCACAAGGGCCCCCTCCCCAAAACCCATATGGATACGCCCCTCACCCACCGTCTCCTCAGCCGCCTTACAATGGCGGATATCATGTGAGAGCCCGCGTTGTGACACCGTTCAACTTCGATATGCTGACAATCTCTGCTGAAGGCTCCACCTCATCAGCAACCTATGTACGGTGCTCCACATCCTCCACATCCAAGCGTCTCTCCGGGTCCTCCAAGCGGTGCCCCAATGTATAGCGGTCGCTCAGGTGGTGAGTACTGATCCCACCTGTAATATATTTAATAGACTAACCATCATCAGCCCCTCCTCCCGCACACTCTCCCTATCCGAACTCGTACAACCATGGCCCTCCCGGCCACAGTGCAGGTCATAACGTCCCCCCACCACCCCCGACACAGCCTGTCCAGTTCGGCCATGGCGCTCCCCAGGGATATAGCTTCCAGTACTCGAATTGCACGGGAAAGCGGAAGGCATTGTTGATTGGAATCAACTATTTCGGTCAGCGCGGACAACTGCGAGGTTGCATTAATGATGTGAAAAACATGTCGACCTATCTGAACCAAAATTTTGGCTACGCACGCGAGGACATGGTGATCCTCACTGATGACCAGCAAAATCCAATGAGTCAGCCAACCAAAGCAAATATTCTGCGAGCCATGCACTGGCTAGTAAAGGATGCTAGGCCTAACGACTCCCTCTTCTTCCATTATTCAGGTATGTATTCCTGATGTTACGGGATATACCCGAGTTCAATTTACTAAACATGGGTGCAGGTCATGGTGGTCAGACGAAGGATCTTGACGGCGACGAAGAAGATGGGAATGACGAGGTCATCTACCCTGTGGATTTCAGGTCGGCTGGACATATCGTTGATGACGAAATGCATAGAATTATGGTCAAGTCGCTGCTTCCTGGTGTCCGTCTAACTGCAATTTTCGACTCGTGTCACTCTGGCTCAGCCCTCGATCTTCCGTACATTTACTCTACGCAGGGAATTCTCAAGGAGCCCAATTTGGCCAAGGAGGCTGGTCAAGGTCTGCTCAGCGTTGTGTCTGCGTACGCGAGAGGAGACGTTTCGGGAATGCTTTCCACTGTTGGTGGACTGATAAAAAAGGCTACAAGCGGCGATGCAAGTCACAGCAAGGCAAGACAAACCAAAACAAGCCCCGCGGATGTTATTATGTGGTCTGGAAGTAAAGACAACCAAACAAGTCAAGACGCTACAATCGCTGGAGAAGCTACTGGCGCCATGTCCTGGGCCTTCATTACTGCGCTGAAGAAGAATCCACAACAGAGCTATGTGCAACTATTGAGGAGCATCCGTGACGAATTGGCTACGAAATATTCTCAAAAGCCCCAATTGAGTTGCAGCCATCCGCTTAGTACGTTCCAAAAAAAAAAAAATCCACTCACTACTTTATGCAATATCAACTTCTGCTAACCTGCAGCTTTGTAGACACCGATCTTCTATATGTCATGTAAACGGAAATTTTTTTTCTTTTCAACTTCCCCCCAAACTGGTTAGAAAGGGTAGGCTCACTAAGTAGCACGCCAATAAATTATCGAAACAGTGATAAATCCAAAGACAGTTATTGACTTTACTGGAAACGACACTTGGTTGTTTTGTGCTTATGACTTTCGCCCAGTCACCCTGGTGCCCGAACTGTTCAACGCTTATCTAGACTTTTTCCGAAAGTGTCATTCCTGTGCAAGTTTTACTGCGTGCTTTACAGCTGTATCTTCTTCTAATTGGATATGTGTCTCTCTGCCCTGTTCCCGGCTTTCTGACTGTCTTCCAGTTGAAGTACCTCGACGATTTTCCTAGGCCTTAAGCACCTTTCCATCTCATTCTTTTGGAGGTGATTCCTAAACTGCCTCCTGAGCGGAGACTAAGCGGAGCACCCGAATATGAGGGATGAACAAACCTTGTAACCGAGCTATTCCATGGTTGCTGTTTGAGCATATATCTTTCTATTATTCACTTTCCGATATCTAGCCCCCTGTTGTCATTTCACCGAGGCCCGTCAAGGTATCGGAAGGGTGGAGTAAAGATCGAATTTTGGCCTCAGTCTTGCTGATTCGTTTCTCTTTTGTTCTTCCTTATTTTCATTTGGGATGTGATGCGACTCTGTTGTTTTTGTTATGTGGTTAGCTAGTTTGCGCTCTACCTGCCTGTTTCGATTCCCCCGTTTTTTCTTGTTCAGGGATGGTGTTCTCGTTTTCTCTCGTTGATTTTGAAGACACGGCACTTGGGAACGATCTTGCTTGGGAAGTGGAGACGGATCTGCTTTTGGCATTGGGAATACGATCTTTTTCTGGCCCTTGGCTTCAGTTAATTAATGCTCATGAATATTCTTTCTTCTCGCCAGATAATATTATGAAATGGCTATTGGATAACTATCCAATGGATTTTTGAGAATGTTCTCGTATTGCCAACATTCCCAACACAGCCGTGACTTTGCCTTCTGATTGCCCCGCCTCCTTCCAAGCTTGCTATGTCATGCTCAGCCCCTGAAGCCCTGGAGGCCTCCAGGGCTTCACAAAAGGACCACGTGATGCGGCTCAACAGCACCGAACCGTTCAGATATTCATTCCAACTTTGCAACAAAAAGGTGACATGTTTCCCGCTTTCTCCCAGAATGCGGGCGCAACTGTTGAGTTTCAGTTTGCGGTATCAGAAACTGCGAACTTTTGCTACCGACATGACCGGCGATGCTCTAAAATCACATGGGTCAGTGGTTTCAACCCTGTAGCTCAATAAGGATGCTTGCCTCAGAGCCATGTCAGAGCATGCTACCTGATCTTAAAGAATATTTTCCTCATGCCATCTGCAACGTCGGCCTTCCAAAAGCTCAACAGAACAACGAAACCCACGAGCTGTCCTGGGTATAATTTTGAAGTAAATTATTCCCGGAAAGATTGGGCAGATCGAATGGAATCAAATATCGTTCATTATAGGGAAATGACTCGGGCTGCTGCATAGCGGCCGCTATCATCTCTAAAATGCAAGATTTTCCCCCATCATACGAACTCGCTACGACTAGGGATGTCTGGACCATAGTTGCCGATTACATCCCGTCTGCGGATTTATGTGCCGCCTCGCTTGTCTGTAAGAGATGGCATAAGATTTTTGTCCCATTCTTATGGGGCGCGCCAGCATCTCATTTTGGAACGGATAACGACGCTGTATATGGTGTGTTCGCCCCACCACTCGCTCTGCGCAAAATAACGATAATCAAGCTTCGAAATATATTGTTGGGCTTATTGCTAACATTTTCAATTTATTTGTCTACCGCAAAAGTCGCCTTGACGAGATTTAGACGGACGCTTAAACGGGCCCGCCTTGAGGTGCGCATGTTAACTCATACATTCCACCTGCCCCCTGCCCTGTCGGAGATATATGGAGGGCCTAGACGATCATGGCTTCAGGAGGTCCTACAATATCTTCCAAACCTCCAATCGCTTCTCGTATCCCAGCTGCCGTTCTTCGACCACAATTCTCTTATCGCATTGAGGCCAAAATCGAATGATGACACTGCTTACGAAGCATATGGCCTCCGATTACTGGTGGCACAACGCGAACCGAATACTACATCCCTTGGTGTTAGGGAGGCTCTCCTCCGGTTCCCCTTGTTGGTTTACTTGGACTTGTCGTTCACGACCCCGGCAAAGGATCATGGGGTCCTGTCGGCTATAACATATCTTAGACATCTCCAGGTGTTGAAGTTGAGAGGTATTGGGCTTAGAGATGCCGATCTGGAAGTTGTGGCGGACTCCATCAAAACGCGGGTTCGGTTGTTGGACGTGCGAAATAACATGTTGACAGATGCGTCGTTAAGGCCTCTTTTGCAGAAGTGCTTTTTACCCTTGGATGTTGATGTGTCCTCTCCCACCGATAGAGAAGTTAAATTCCATTTTGAGTGGGCCTGCTCTATAAGCCCTTTTGCGAATATTCTGGGGGCGGATTCATTGAAGAGCGAGGATTTTGACGCCCACCTCATGAAACAGTTAATGATACCCCTGACCGGCCGCTCTGATCCTCAGGATCTACCTCACGTTGGCATTACGCATCTTTACATTTCAGATAATCGTCTCTCTGTCGAAGGTTTAGGCAGCTTGCTTAAATCGACGCGTCTTCATGTACTAGATGGCGGGACCGTTAAAAGTGCTGGGTCAATGTGGAAGCGCAAGGGTTTTGAACCGATTACGGATAATGAGAGCCAGTGGGTTGTTGGCGTAAGGTATCCAGGCGCTGAAAAACTTATACCAGCACTGCGCCATTCAGCTGCGGAGAAATTGACCTATCTAAGAATTCACCATGCCGTGGTTACGGAAAATGCTTCTACGTCGTCCAGTGAGATTTTTCCTACCAGGAGAACACCTAAGAGACGACCTGTTCCCCCCGCTGCTACTATGGAACTGGACGGCTTTTACAGCCAAATTTACGAATTGCCGGCTGACGCTGAGCCTGTACGACACGAGCTAGCTGATACGTCATTTCAAAGGCCGATGCCTGGATGGAAACATAAATTGCGTAGTAGCTCTGACCCACTATCGCCAACACCATCTCACAGCCTCCGACTAACTCACCCTCAAGCACCACCACTGTCGCAATTTTTATCTGCTCAACCGCGAAGCGACTTAATCCAGTCATTGCTCAAAAAGCGTCCTGAAATTAGCCATGGCATAGCCCCCTTTTATCATCCCTCTCATACCCCACACCTCCGAACCCTTGTCCTTACTGATGTTCCAGCCTCTGTCCCACCGTCATCTCATATCATATCCTTCTTAACACGCTTCATTACATCGTGTGCGGATGAGGCCTACCTGGCCACTCTTCAGGCGCGATCCGACTACTCTCTACCCCCTGGCTGGCTACGTGCCAATGCAGAGCGACAGCACGTACGATCCCTTTTTTCTCTTGAACGGATTATCCTCGAGATCACACCTGTCGCAAAGCCTGATTCCTCGAAAGATTCGACGTCCTGGAACCGCAGCAGCGCGGGTTTCTTCTCCAAGTCCAGCACGGAGGATATAGATTCAGAGAACCTGTGGGCCGCTGCGGAGAATGATTTTAGTTTTTTCAGTAGGGAGATCGAGGAGGAGTGTGGGGTTCGAGATGAAGAGGCGAAGGACACGGATAGCGATAGGGAAGGTGAAAAAGATGCTGTATCCGTGCACTCACGGCGGATCCCAGAACTGGAAGCTACAACCGCACCATTATCGCATCTTGCCTCCGCAACCCCTCAGCCACCACCACCAGAATTGCCACTTTTTTCTCCGCCAAATCAGACGCCGCTTACCTCACCATCTCCCTCGCCTTCACCGAACGGCCAGAAGAGACAGCACACCAACCCAGCCACCTCTTCCAAGAACGCAGAGATCGACGTTGTTGCTGCTCTAGCAGCGTTCCGCAAGATTAAAAAGGCAGAATATGAGGAGTTGTTGTCACGCACCAATAAGGGGGTGCGGAAATATACCAATACTTCAACCCCTGTGCTTACTCCTATGCCTACTCCGACGTCACCGCGATCACAACAGTCGTCGGCTTCGTCCTCGTCCTCGTCTTCGTCTTCGTCGAGTGCATCACTGAATTATCCGTTGTACGTTGAGGGTCATTGGAAAGGGGAAGTGAAAATTGTGAGAAACCCGACGCCCAAAGGGCGAAGTGGTGGATTCGTGGATATTTATGGTAACTATTTTGAGAGAGGATATTTGTATCCATGACTCTCTCTAGGAAAGGATGCTTTTTAGGTGCTAGATATATGCATTATTCGATCGACACCTTTTCGGTGGATACATCGGATGCGATTTGATGAATCAGGTAAGACATGCAGATGCATTCCCAAATTTTCATTTTAAGATATCGTTTCGGCTCGAAGAGAATCGAGCAGAGAACATGGCGTGAATGTAGAATGAAAGATTTCATCCGTTTCCCCAGAAGTCTTATTTTCTCTGAGGTGTATAGTTTTGTGTCCTCTGCTGTATCTATTTTCGTTCCCTAAGCCCACGTTGATAAAATTATACCACCGTTCACCTAACGGACAGACAGTGCCAATGGCATCAAAGGAGGCGGCCCAAGCCACATGAATTGGGCACAAACGAACACTAAAATAGGGAGGAATAAGGGTGTTGTCGATTTTCCGATTTTCATGTCTCATTTCTCATTTCCTCTTCCTCCTTCCCCCCCCACCAATCTTCGTTTTCCCACGTCTTTTAAAGTCTTTGTTGTCATAGGAACCTATGTTGATATATAAAAATCCTGTTTTTATTTTGCCTGACACCGTTGAAAAAAACATACACAGAGCGGAAGAGAGAGATTTAAGAGAGGGGAAAAAAAGGAAAAATTAGACATGAAGAGAGCAGCAGCCGCATTGCCACCACCTCATTATCCCAAGCATGCTCTCCCGAATATTCCACCGACAGGACTCATATCTATGCCTGGGCAGTCTTTGCGGCTTGCGTCGGGTTCATCTTCTTCCCGTCCCTGTTGTACCGAATTCTTGGGGGAGGGGCACGGTTGCGACGACCCTCTCGAGAACGGACACTAGAAGACATATTTCCTGAATCAGTCCTGTAACAATGCGCCTTTTGTTGATTTTTTTTTTTCCCTGACCACCATCCCACTTGTTTATTTATTGGGCAACTTTTTCTCTTCTCTTTCTTTTCCCTTTCTTTTCCCTGAACATGTCGTGATTTTTGTGTGTCCTGCCTGATCTTGCATGCTCCGTTTCGGAAGGGGAAGAGGAAAGAGAGGGAGGTCAAAAGCTTGATAAAATGAGTTGGGTTGGGTCTAGCCATACCGCACAATCTTTCCGTGGATGGCGCAGGAAACGCAGTACTGGAGCTTCAAGTACATTTTGGGAACGGCGTAATCGGTGAAGACAGAAGCGTCAGAGATGTCACCTAATTATTTGCGAAAACGGAAGTTGATATTAGCGTTAATCTCGTCCCTTTTCTTCCCTTTGGTTTTTGGAGACGTACGGATGGCGGCAGACTCGACCATGTTGCGAATGGTGAATCTCTTGATGGCCTTATCCTTGGGGGTGCATCGCGAGCAATTGGAGCATCGGATTGGCTTGACGTGGCCGCGGCCCTTCTTGTTACGTCCGCTGTCAGAATCCGATTGTCAGCCCATATATGCCCGCACAATCTCAAATTTTTACTCCGCAATATCGTCAATTTTCCTTTATTCAAAAAACTCTTTTCCAATTCCCATATGTTGTTCGGCGTCAAAAAGGGGGCATTGAGAGCTCCTTAAATGAACATACTTCGATGACCGTTTCTTGACCATTTTGGTGGATTCTGTATTCGTTCAACGTCAGGGAAAGAGCGCAACAGTAGGGACAGGGTCAAAACAAAGGCACGGGGAATGGAGAAGCGTACAGGTTGTAGCCGGCGGAATGAGGTGGTTGAAAAAGCAGCGCTGACCTGTCCTGGCTCCGATGTTGGTCTGGTTGCTTGTGTTTGTGGGCAACCAGGACTAGCGGTTTAAGCGAAGGCCGCTTATCTAAGCAGGCTCCCCATGACCCGGTCCCCGTGACACGTTCCTGGCTGACTCCAAACTTGGTAGGAAACAAACAAGTGCATCAACAATATCGGACGTAGACGACGCCCCTTTTGTTCTCGTCGTTTTTCTGGATATCGTGGATCCCATTCCAGCCCTTTTTAAAAGACTGATTTCCCCCGTGTTTCTCTTCGTTAGTAATTAAACTTAATCCTTACTTTCGTTCTCTTTCTTTCAAATGTCTGCAGCCGGGGGAGGAACCTTTCGGAATCGGACTGTGGGCCGCGGTCATATTCCCTTCGATGGCAGCCCGTCTGGTATTCCTCGCAAGGTTGACCAAGGGCACCAAGGGGTGCCGCCGGCGGCTACTCCGTCTGATATTGGAAGTGCCTCTGCTCTGAGCACCAGTAGGCAGAAACAGTCTAAACGTGACGAGGTAAAATTTGCACCTTTGTTTTTCCCTTTAACATTCAATTGATTAGATATCGACTGTTCCCTTGCGGGTATGCATGATTAATGATATTTATTTCAATGGGCAGGCTATCAGGAAGAAAATGGAGGCAGACCTTAACAAGAAAAGACACGGGAATCCTGCCCGCTCTCGCCATAGCCGCAAGGCACCCCCCGGAACTGTTATGGCTCTCAAACCCAGCCAGGCTCTCCAGATCAAACCCAACACCACGGTTGCAGAAGCTGCCCAGCTAATGGCTGCGAAGAGAGAGGATTGCGTTCTTGTGACGGATGACGATGACCGTATTGCTGGTATTTTTACCGCGAAGGATTTGGCATTTAGAGTTGTTGGGGCGGGTATCAGGGCTCGGGATGTTACAATTGCAGAAATCATGACAAAAAATCCTCTCTGCGCGAGAACTGACACCAGCGCTACTGATGCCCTGGACCTCATGGTCCGGAAGGGATTTAGACATCTACCCGTCATGGATGAGAATCAGGATATATCTGGAATCCTTGACATTACCAAATGTTTCTACGATGCGATGGAGAAGTTGGAGAGGGCGTATAGCTCGTCTCGCAAATTGTATGATGCTCTCGAAGGTGTGCAGTCGGAATTAGGGTCCAATCAGCCGCAACAAATTATCCAATATGTGGAAGCGTTGCGGCAGAAGATGTCTGGCCCGACCTTGGAATCTGTTTTAAATGGGCTTCCACCGACCACTGTGTCAGTACGCACGTCCGTCAGGGAGGCTGCCACGTTGATGAAGGAGAATCACACCACCGCTTTGCTGGTCCAGGATCAGGGCTCTATTACTGGTATTTTCACGAGCAAAGACGTTGTTCTCCGTGTTATTGCCCCTGGATTGGATCCCAATACCTGTAGCGTTATCAGAGTTATGACCCCTCACCCGGATTTTGCTCCTACTGATATGAGTATCCAAGCTGCCCTTCGGAAGATGCACGGTCAGTTGAAATATCCGTCATGGTATATGAGGGGGAAAAGATAAATATGGCTGACCGTGTTGCAATAGATGGACATTATCTTAACCTTCCAGTGATGAACGAAGCTGGGGAGATTGTGGGTATGGTGGATGTACTCAAATTGACCTACGCCACTCTCGAACAGGTACGCTTTTCCTTTCTATTCCCGACGTTTTTCACAACTATTTTTGACTCAACTTATATTTTACCCATGATTCTAGGTCAATTCTATGTCTACAAACGAAAATGAAGGGCCTCCGTAGAATAAGTTCTGGCTCTCGATGGATATGAGTTCTGATTTCCATGGGTGTCTGGGCAGCCACAGCCATTCATCCCCATACT